CCTACGGTCCCACCACTCAGTAGCTATAATACCTTGGATGAGTTACTGAACCCCCATCTCTGGGTCTCAGTTTACTCATCTGCAAAATGGGGGTTTAAAAGTATCCACCTCACAGAGTTTTTTGTTGGTTTGTTTGTTTTTAACTAAGAGTTAATACATGTAAAGCTCTTGAAAGGGTCCCTGGGACACACTAGTCTACAGCTGTCAACACCAGGGCACAGGCTCTGATGATTGTTAGAGCAGGCAGATAACGAGATATGAGAAGAGAATGGGAGACCCAGTCCAAGTGGCAGGAATTGGGCAAAAAATGGGAGGGCAGGAAACCATACATCATGTGAACAATGAGGGTCCTTGGGCGGACAGAGTAAAGCAGGACCCTGCCCCTCTGATAAGAGATCACACATTTTGGGGTGACAAGTGTCCTGGAGGCAGACAAAGAAAGGTGAGAAAAGGCAGGAATCTCCAGTGTCTGAATGTAACCTTTTGCTCATTATGCCCTTATTACAATAAAATTAGCCTTGCAGATTAGAAGCACCCATCATGCACCAATGCCATGGCACTTCCAGTCCAGACTAAATAAAGACAAAAACCCCTCCTCCCCTCAGGAAGGTGGAACTAGGATGAAAATCAGGGAATACAACCCCAAACCCTTCCCTCCCCAATGAATATTCTGCCCATTCATTTTACACTCTCTGTAGCTAACTTGCCAAGAAACTCAGCACAGCTGCTCACCTGAGCCTGCCCGCTCTCCCCTCGACAGTGTGCAGTCTATCCCTTAACAAATCCCGCTTCAATTTCTTAACGTCCACGTCCCGTCTCTGAATTCTTTCTGCGATGAGACAAGAAACAATACCCAGGCTCCACCTTGGGAGACAGAGACCCAGGCTGGAATCTCATCTCTATTGGCATCTCTGAGCCTCAGTGTCCTCATCTGTTAAATGGGGGTGCTGCTACCTGGCCCACAGGACTCCCAGGGGCATCCAAGAGATCAACCACAAAGCCCCAGCAGGCTTGGTCAGTGCCAAGATGCTGGTCCTTGCCATGTCACTACCAAAATGGGAAACAGCAAATGGGACCACGTGTCTGGATTCCACATCCCAGGAGTGTAAGAGACCCTGGTGGATGCTCAAAGAGGAGCCCCCAGGGTTTCAAGCTATGGGGATCTGAGGGCAGCCTGGTCCACCTGCAGGCTGGGCTATGTCTCACCTTCTCCCCTCTGCCTCTCGGAGCTTGGGGCTACATCTCTGTAAAGTGGGCCTGACAGCACCCGCCCACATGACGCCCTGGGCTGCTCCAGCCAGGAGCCAGGGCATAGGTATAAACGCGCTAAGCAAACAGGTGGGGTTGCTCGGCTATTTCCTTTTTTATTGTTTTTTTTTAACGTCTTCCTTGAGCCTTGCATGGTCTGGAGGCTTTCACGGTGCGAGTCTGGGCCAGAGGAAATGCAGTGTGGTGCTTCAGAAATAAGCCTCTCTCTTCCGGAACCTTCCTGCCACGGCGGTCTCTGGCAAAAGAGGCAGACTGGCTGGTGGAGGAGTCGACTGAAAACCAAGAGAGGACCAGCTGAGCACAGAACTCTCTACGCTCTACTTCCGACTGTGTTTTTAAAGTGCCGAGAAGAAAAGGACCGGAGGAAACTCACCGAGGAATAGGAACAGTGTTTGCTTGGGTGGCAGGGTTGCAGATTTTCTTTTGACCTTCTTTCCATTTCTCTGAGTTTTGCTGATCTTCTACAGTGGGCGGCATAAGGAGGGAAGATGGAAATAAGGATTCTCGTTTTGAAAAAGAGAACGAAAGCAAAGCATCACAGGTCGGACCAGACAGCTGCTGCACGGCGGCGCTGCTCCTGCTTTGCGATGTGGAAAGTGAGTCCAAAGGAGGGGAAGGGACTTGACGCCACGGCAGGGGTTGAAAGCGTGGGATCTGTCACTAGACCTGAATTCAAATCCCAGCTCTGCCACTTGCCGCTGTAACTGTTGACATCCTTCTCCCCAGCGCCCGCCTCGCAGGGGTCCTGTGCTGTGGTGCATGCGGCTGCTTCCCACACAGCAAGATCTCAGCGTGCAGCGGCCACTGTTGTCACAGCGATGTTAGCAGCGCTCCACGTGGGTGGTGGGAGACTTTCTTCTCTTGGGGCTCGTCTCTCTAAAAATGACTGCCAAGACTGGGTGGCAGGCAGAACCCCTGAACAGTGCTCTTCCCACTACACGGCAAAGAATGGCTGACAGGAAGCTGTGCGTTTCAAACCCATTCAGACAGGGCTAGGAGCAAAGGAGCAAGGGAGGGAGTCCCCAGTTCCAGGTGTGCCCCAGAAGGTCCAGTTCAGTGACCAGGA